AATGCGTTATTCGTACTATCGAACAGAAAAATTGTGACTTTATTCGTACTATAGAGTAGACAATGCAACAATTTTGCCATTCGTATTATTGGATATTCGTAATAAAGAGTATACGTACTATTGGACGTCCACTGTAATTGCAATTGAATTTAAGTGTTTATTTAAAAATTTTGAAGAGTTTCTTCAACAATTATCACGTGAGTTAAGATTTTTATAATTGAAAGCAAAATTTCTTAAAAAAATAAGAAATTTTCTTTAAATAGCTAAATAAACTCAAAATTTTCAATAAAACTCTATTAAAGACAATATTTTCTAAAAAATTCTCTTAATTTATCTTAAAAATCTATTTTCTTTAGTTTATTTAATAAAAAAAAATAGTAAAAGAACTAAAGCTATGTATAAACGCTTGTTGATCTTACAATGCTGTCAGATCTGGCAAATTTTGTATAAAAAACCTAATAAAATACTATATTTTCTTTTGCTTTTCTTATAAAAATCTAAGTTTTTTACTTTATTTAATAAAACTCTGGTGTAAAATCTATAATACAAGCTTTTTCCGCCTAAAGATTACATATTTTAAACTTAAATATCGATTTTTAATGATTTTACTCTAAATAGAAAACGTTGCACTGCAACACAGCAAATTTGACAACTTTAGTTATCAGATAAAATAACGCTAATGTAGCAACACTGTTAAATACCGTTAAAGCGAAAGAGAGAACTAGCAAAGAAAGCTGCCAGACAACAAAATACTCTCAATAAATAACAGGACATTATCCATAGAGCTGCCATACTGAGATTTTGTGTTTCTCTTAAAAAAAGGGCAAATAACGAGAAAATGGAAATTTAAAAGAATTCAAAATAAAAATTTAATAAAAATGTTGCAAATTTTATAGTAACAAAGAAACAGAGCCGGGAAAGGGGATCTAAAGAAAAAAACTAGAATATATAAGAAATCACTTGACCTGTCATAATAATCTAATAAAACAATAACATTTTGCTATTGTCAGCTAAAAATATTGACTGATAAGTTAAACAAATATTATTATGTATTTCTAATATAAATAATGCCTTAATCCCCATTTAAATGTCAAAAAACAACTTGTTAAATAAAAACAGATAAGATTTGTTAGCAAAATATAACAAAAGCTAAATATTTGTGAAAAAATATTAAACAAATTGTTAAAATATATTAATTGTTATAGAAAATATTAAAGATTAAAATATTTTCTATAAACAAATTTTGTTTAAAATAGGTTTTTTATAAAATTTCTAATTCAGCTTACCTTAGCAATTTGTTCTAAATTCGTTTTAAGTATATTCTGAGCTTCTTCAGTACTTTTAAGTTGTAATTGCTTTTGAAAGCGTAAAGCTTCGGTAAATATATCATCATCATTGCCAGAACGCTAAAAAAAAGTTAAAAGAAAACAAGAAATAATTAATTTACAAAAATTCTAATTAATTTAAAGAAAATTTTAAGAATTTTTAAGAAATTGAACAACTTACCCAATTAAATTCTACAGGAGATCGATAACCGCTAGTTTTAGCTTCTATATCTAATATCCGATATAATAGGAATATGGAAAATAATGCTAATAGTAAAGTGAGCAAAACGCCCAAGTAAACCACATGTATTTCAGTGGGAAATTTAAAATGTTTCAATAGCTTCTGACTAACACTAGTGAATGTATTTAAAACGCGCTTAGCTTTAGTACCCGCTGGCGATAAGACGGATGAGGTCATTACCGTTGTGGGCGATGAAGATGTAGAGGGTGTGGGCGTGGAAGTGGCCGATGTGGTCGAGGAAGCACAGCCTGCTATAATAGTTAGTTTATTAGTATTAGTATAAACCTCACCACCATCGGGTGTAGGTTTAAGGGCGGGTTGTTGTTGTTGTAAAACAGATTTGAGACCAATTAAATTAACAGCACCACCACCATTAGAGGTATTGTTATAATGTTCTCCCGTGGCAGGTGGGGCCGAGCATCTGGTGGAAGCTGTATTTGCTGTTAGCGTAGATTTGGCATTTATAGGAATGTCTGAGTGTCTAGTTAAATCGGCAATACTTAAATTCGAACTGGCTACTGAACGCCGCAGTAACGTTTGACTAGTTGTCTCGTTAGTTTGTAGCAGTTTACCGCCACCATTGGCCTGTTGTAGTTCTGTTATTTGGGCGGGACTTTCATTGCCACTTATCGAACAGCTGCTATCATCTTCAATTGAGTATTCTTCGGAGATTTCAATGCTGGCCGGATCTTTGGGTAATATCTCGGGTACACCCAAAGGCGGACAAACACTGCACATGAGACGGAAGGCCGCCTCGCGACTTATGAAACTGCCAAACACATGACGTTCATCAGCGGTGGCCACGCCCACAGCATTTGGTATGATTTTAGCGGTTTTCTCTTTGGAGATTTTTGTAACGGAGGAAGTGGGTATAACAACCTGTGGGAGAGAGTTAGAAGAAATTAAAATTTATAAAAGTTTCAAGCAATTTAGAGAAAATGTATATAATTTTGTGTTATTACTTTTTCATTTTAATAATTTCTTATAAAACTTCTTTGAAAAATGTAATGGAAGCAATAAATTTATTTAATTTGGCCCATTTTTGCTTTAAATTCCTCTTAAACTAAATAAATCTGTCTGGCAACTCTAATGCTTTCAAGAAAACATCAAAAAGAGCAAAAAAATTTTTCTCAACAAAAAGTAACGTTATTTTCATCGTTGCCATATTTCGATTTAAGGCAACAATGTTAAATCAAAGAAGACCATACACGGAGAGAAAAAATACCGTCAGATATAAAAAGGATCGTATTTTCTCAAATATTAAGCGAAAAACATGAAGCAAATTGAGATTTAAAAGGAAACTAGAGGATTTATTTGAAATTTTAAACAAAAAAAGTTTTAACTTATTTTTTATAACATAATGAATGATCATACCTTAGTAACATAACCAAAAACATTTGAGTAAAATGCAAAATGTTGATCTGTTATATAAAGATGTCCTTGCAGTAAAATATCACTGACTAGAGCACAGGAAAAATCTAAAACAAAGAGCAAAATTTGTCATACAAATTAGTGATCAATAGTCTATAGCCAAGTCAATAGTCTTGCCAATAGTGTGGACTATAGTCTAGTCTTTAGTTTGGACAATAAGTCTTGTCTATAGTCTGGACAAAAGTCTAGTCTATAGTCTAGTTAATAATCTGGACTATAATATAGTTTAAAGTCTAAAAAAAGTCTAGTCTATTGTTTAGTCTGAAGTATTCTTTATAAAAATTCTCCACTTACAGTTTATTAATTTCTCATCTTTCGACACCTGAGCAAAATGTCTATGGAACTTTTTTACACGCGAGCTAGATATCTCTTTGCGTTTCTTCTCTTTTTCAGGGGGCGTTGTTGCAGTTGTTGCCGAAGCTGGTGTTGCTGTCGATGTTGTTGTTGATGTTGTCATCGTGACGGTGGAACCATTTGAGGTAGTAGCATTGGCAGCAGCAGCGGCGGCGGCAGCTGCTGCTGTTGTTGATTGCTCATGCTTGGCCGTGCTGCTGCTGTTGCTACTACTGGCGCTGCGACGTGAAGGGCTAATGCTGCGCAAACTCCCCGAGGTATTTAGCGAGGGTAGGGGAGTTAGTGAGGTGGGACTATGTTTGAGGGATCTGGAAAGAGGAAAAAGATGAATTTTTAATAAGAAGAAATTTGATAATATATAAAAATTTATTAAACATTTTTAAATTTAATGGAAATGCTATTTATCACCATAATTTTTAAGATTTTTATTATTTATTTCAGATTATAATTACCATAAATTCCATAATTTTGTTTAAAATTAACTAAATTTCTTCATTTTATGCAAAAAGTGTTTAAAACTTGAGTTTAATACTAACAAATAGCAAATTTGATTGAATTTTAACGGTTTTTTACTGAAATCAAGATGGCAACATTAAAACAAACTAAAATACCCTTTTATACACGTGGCAACCTCAAAATAAACTGAATTTCACTTTAATCCTGTCACTCGCTCTCAGTAGTCATTTACAGCAGTGATGACAACTGTGTTATATTAGAAAAAGCTGTAAAATGTACTAAATGTTTAAAATAAGTAAATTTTTGTAGAAAAATAGTAAAATATGACAAAATTTAATAATTTAAATTTTATATTAAGAATATTTTCAACTATTTGTTTATAAAGAAAGTAAATAAGTCTTTAATTTAAAGAAAACTATTAATTTTTTTAGAAATTATTAGAAAACTAAAGGTTTTTAATAATGTTTTAAAGAGTTATTGTTATAATCATTTAAAAATAATGTAAAACTTTAGCAAGTCATTAACACCTGTGACCAGAGAAAAATTTGTTAATCAATATTTTAGAATTATTAAACTCATATGACTCATATTATCAGAATAAAAACTCAAGTAGACCTAAAAAATATGGTCAGAAAGAAAGATAACACTATTAATGACATAAATAAACTAATAATACGTTAAATTAGTTAATAAACCTAAATTTTAAGACTTAGTAAAAAATATGACTTAATTTGTTAGAAATGGCAAGAAAATCATAAAAAACGTGATACAAATAAAACAATTAACAAAAAAGGAAAACTTTAGAACAATTTCAAAGTAAACAAAGTTATAAAATAAACATTTTTGGCAAACCAAGTAAGCAAAGCACGTGTTTTTTTTTAACAAATTTTCTATAAATAAAAAAAATACATATTTATAGTATTTTTTTTTAGCAAATTGTAAATAATTGTTTAAATACCGCATGGAGTATAAAATTTTGTTTATAAAATTTATAATATTTTTAAAAATCTTATCAGTAATTTTGGCGTTTAAGTTGTTAAACAATTGATAAAAGCTTAAAAAATTATGGCGTGCTTGTCTTTTTAGATAAAATAAAGTAGGATTTGGTATAAAGAAAAAAAATTTATTAAAACAAAATAAATTTATTATTTTATTTAAAAATATTTTTATTTATACAAAAAATTTTTAAATTTCCTAGAATTTTTTACTAAAATTAAAAATTTTCTTTTTAATTTGTAATTTTTCCTAGAATTTTGTTTTAATACGCATTTATTTCATTAATAATAAACGTGTCTATTTTACACATTTCCTTTCCAATAAATATTATTATTAATATTTATTTATTGCTTGTAAAATTTGGTATCTTATCTCTATATATTCCAATAAACAAAACAGCTAATAAAAAATTTACAACTTTTGTAAATTAGTTCTTTTAGTTTTGCTAATTTACGAGGAACAAAAAGCTAATAAATCCATTTATTTGAAAAACTAAGTTGAAAAGAAAAATACTTGAAAACCAATGATTATTAAAGTAAACAATCCTAAAAATTATTAAAAATTGCAGTTTTTAGTCTCAATTTTCAAAATCACTTCATATTTTAAACAAACTATCAACATAAACTGCTTTTTCAATCAAACATAGTTGGCATCACTGCTGTAAATACCCTGTGAAAGCGATTAACAGGATTTCAAAGTTGCCACTTAGTTGAAAAGGAAATTTGTTACAATACAGTAATGCCTATTGTGTTAAAGTTGAAAATCACTAAAATTTGTTAGAATTTACAAACGTTTTAGTTTTAATGGCTTTTTTCCTTTAAATTCTGTATTAAATTTACTTTATTTTGAATTTTAATCATTTTCTTTAAACATTATCTTTAACTTTAGTTAATTTGTAATAAAATTTATGATTTTTTCCGTCGAATAGATGTAAAAAGAGATAATGTGTTAAAAATTGCTAGATAATTAAAAAGTAATTTTATTGTTTCAATATAAAAAAAAAATTGATAAATTTTGTAAATGCAAGCAATTAAATAAAAATTTAATTATATTGGTCATATGATGTGTGTTTCTAAAGGGTGTTTAAAACTGTTACTAACATAATAATTATAAAAAGACGATGAAAACAGAACGGGGTTGAAATTACGTCATTTAAAATCGAACGATATCTTTATGGCAAATCGATATTGAACGCAGTTTTCTTTTCTATAAAAATAAAAATTTTTCTACAGAAAAATTTATATTAAACTGTTTACTTCAGCATAAATGATCTGAAAAATCTCGATATAACAGTTTTTTCTAAAGAAAACAGTTCAGTATAACAGTTCAGTTGAACTGAAACAAGAAAATTCTCAGCATAAGAGTTTTTCAAAAGAAAATTTTCTGTTTAATAGGTTTTTTTTTCAGAAAAAATCTCAGTATAACAGTTTTACCTAGAGAAAATTTTCTGTATAACAGTTTTTTCTAAAGAAAAATCTCAGTATTACAGGTATTTCTAAAGAAAACTCTTTGTATAACAGTTTTTTCTAAATAAAACTCTCTGTATAACAGTTTTTAAAGAAAAATCTCAGTATAAGAGTTGTTTCTACATAAAATTCTCTATATAACAGTTTTTTTAGAGAAAAATCTCAGTATAAAAGTTTCTTCCCAGAAAATACTCTGTATACAAAATTTTAAAAATAAAATGCTCAATATAACAGTTTTTTCAGAAATTCTTAGTATAATAGTTTGTTCTAAAGAAAATTCTCAGTATAAAAGTTTTTTCTAGAGATAACTTTGTATAAAAGATTTTATAAAGAAAATTCTTTGTATAAACAGTTTCTTTTAAAGAAAAATTTCAGTATAAGAGTTGTTTCTAAATAAAATTATATGTATAACAGTTTTCTCTAGAGATTAATTTCCAGTATAACAGTTTTTTTTTCTAGAAAAACTGTATAAAAAAATTTTATAAATAAAATTCTCAGTATAAACTGTTTTATCTACAGAAAATTCTTAGTATAACAGTTGTTCTAAGGAAAATTCTCAGTATAACAGTTTTTTTTCCCAGTGATAACATTGTATAAAAGATTTTTATAAAGCAAAAAAACTGTTATATAGTGATTTTTAAAAAAAATTCTGCATAACAGATGTTTTTTCGAAAGAAAACTCTGATATAACAGATTTTTCGAAAGAAAATTCTCTTTACAGTTTTTTTTAAAGAAAATTCACTGTGTAACAGTTTGTTAAAAAAAATACAGTATAACAGTTTTTTCTAAAAAAAAACTCTGTATAAAAGATTTTCTTTAAAAAATCTCAGTATTTTTTTTCTAAAGAAAATTGTCTGTATAACAGTTGTTTTAAAAAAATTCTCAGTATAACAGTTTTTTCCAGAGAAAACTTTGTATAAAGGATTTTTATAAAGAAAATTCTCAATATAACATTTTTTTCTAAAAAAATCCGAAGTATAACAGATTTTTTTTTAAAAAATCCCTGTATAACAGTTTTTTATAAAGAAAACTGTATGTATAACATATTTTCCTAGAGAAAACAGTTTTTATAAAAATTTACTGTAAACCATTTTTTTCTATAGAAATCAGTATAAAAGTTTTAGAAATTTCTGATTATAACTCTGTTCTCTAAAGAAAATCTCTGTATAGCAATTTTTTCCCATAGAAAAATCTCTGTATAAAAGTTTTTTATGACGAAAATAAAACTTTTATTTTAAAATTTGTGAAATGTCCCTTTTTTCGACAAACATTCAGCTTCAGCTTTTAAACATAGTCTGGCCGCTTTATTTTCACTTTAAGCTCTACTTTTTCCATCTCTGACATTGATTAAATGCAAACTGACTTGCTACAGAGCATATTTAATAAGTGGCAACACTGCTAATTGTTATTCCTTTTTTGCAACTCTTTCTATAAACCGTTAGGATAAAATGTGATCGCACTCTTTTAATCAAAGTAAACTAAATTGATTTGTATTGACTATTTTCAATCTCTACTTACTGCATAGAACTAAATCGGTGTAAATTTGAACGTTTACACTCCTCATTGTGTACGGGTGATAATTCTATCATAGAAATACGATGATATTTCTTTTCAGCACTCGAACGACGACTATTCGGTTTAGAATTGTTCGATTTATTACTTTGATTATCTGGTCCATTTAAAGACAATTCACTAATATTATGTCTGTTATAATTTTGAAAATTGTTACTTATGGCAGATAAATCTAACTTAACATCCACACGATCCTGTTGTTCTTCGATTACAACATCTTCATCTTCTTCATCCATTTCCATATCAGTGATATAATTATTAAAAATTAAATTTTCAAAAGAAGCTATATCGTTTTCATTGCGTGGTTGAAAAACACTTTTAGCACTTTCCACTAAAGTTGTCAAAGTATCATAAACCATTTTGACATATCAATAAATGTTAGGTAAACACACTCGCGAATTAAATAATGACTGTCGATACACACCCACTGTTTTTAAACAACTTTTATAAGTTAAATAATTTAGTAAATTGTTAGATTTTCTTATTTATTGCAAAAATATTTAGTTTTTTTAGGGGGAAATATCAAATTTTCATATGAGCTTTCATTTTATTGGTTAACAATTTTTCGTTTTTATAAATTTTCCTTTTGTTTTGGAATATTTTCGTTTTAGTTTATTAATCTGTTATTATTAATATCAGTAAACCGTTTTAAATGCTAGTTACTCGCCAACTAAATTTTGTTTTTAATATTAAAAGCAGCGTCAGCGTTGGCCTTTTTTCTGCCGACGTATCTCAGTTAAGCTTCTTCAATTGTTTGTGTTTATTATATTATAAACAGAGATGGAAAATTGCATGTAAACCAACTTTCAGTAATAAACTTTTTTAAAATTTTACAACAGAGTTTTCTTATACTAATGTCTCCCTAATAAACTCTTATTTTTATAAAATTTCTTTAAAAAATATCAAAATTATTCTTTAAATGTTAAATTTGTACTGATTTTACAAACTTTCCTTTTAAATTACAACAAATTTAACAGTTTTTCTTTTAAAAATTGTGAAAGATTATTTAAAGTTTGCAACACTAATGACAACATTTAAAACAAACAGAAGAGTTGCCTTATGCTGTAAAAGGATACAAGAGGTTGCCACAACAATCAGTGGCAAAAGTGATGCCCATCCCTGCCTTTAATTTGTAATAATAATACAATTGTTTTTGTTTTTACTGCAAACAATGGATTCCTGTTGTTTAGTTTGAATTTGTTGTTATTGTTTTTGTGTTTTTATTATTATTATTATTAGTATTTTGTTTTGTTATCAGTCGCCTTATCACAAACCATTTTTTGGCTTTTGTGGAGAAGGCGCAAAAACAACACAAAATTTACGGTGGAAAAAGTAAATAATAACAGGAGAGCTTAGGGGCGGGAGAGAGGGGGGTGGTGGACATAAATAAATACAAGTAAAATAAAAATAATATAGAAAAAAATGTGCATACGTGAGAATTGAGAGAAAAACAACAAATCAAATAAATTTTACTAAAAGGTTTTTTATAGATTAACCCCTTAAAAAGGGGGAGCAACAAGGAGATTCCAAACAAAAGTTTTCATAAAAAAACTATTACACAAGAAGTTTCCTAAAGAAAAAACTGTTATACAGAGAATTTTTAATAAAAAAACTGTTATACTGAAACATTTTTATAGAAAAAGTGTTATAATGGTATGTTTAATTACAAGAATACTGTTATACTGATAAATTACTGGAGAAAAACTATTAAACTATGAATTTTCCATAGAAAAAACTGTTACACTGAAAATTTTCCATAAGAAAAACTGTTATACTAAGATTTTCTCATAAGAAAAGCTGTTGTACTGATAATTTACTAAAGTAAAACTGTTATACCAAGTATATTCTATCGAGAAATGGTCTGATACTGAGATTTTTCTATAAAAAATTGTTATACTTAGAATTTTCTATATAAAAAACTGTTATACTGGGAATTTTCCATAAGAAAAACTGTTATATTAAGAATTTTTCATAAGAAATGCTGTATTACTATCAGTATAACTTTGTAACTTTACTAAAGAAAAACTGTTATATCAAAAATATTCTATTGAAAAATGTGTTATTCATAGAATTTTCTATAGAAAAAACTGTTATACTGTAAAGTTTTTGTAAGAAAACTGTTATAATATTATTTTGTTAAGAAAAATCTATTATACTGAGAATCTTCCATAAAGAAAACTGTTATACTATGCATTTTCTAAAGAAAAACTGTTATACTATGAAAGAGAAACTGTTATACTAAACAGGAAAAACTGTTATACTGAGTATTTTTTAGAAAAAACTGTTATACTGCGATTTTTTTTAAAGAAAAAACTGTTATATTGAATTTTTATAGAAATACTGTTTTACGACAGTTTTCAGTAAAATCTTCTTGAGAAAAAAACTATTATACTGTGAATTTTTATAGAGAAAAAACATTTATATTGAAATTTTTTTAGTTGAAAAACTGTTATACTGTGATTATTTTAAATAAAAAACTGGTATATTGATAGTTTTCTGAAAAAAATGTTTATACTGAGATTCTTTTGAGAAAAAACTGTTATACTGTGATTTTTTAAGAAAAACCCGTTATATTCAGAATTTTTTGTAGAAAAACTGTTAAACTGTGATTTTTTATAGAAAAAAACTGTTATACTGAGCATCTTTTTTTGGGAAAAAACTGTTATACTGTGATTTTTAAAATAAAAAACTGTTATATTGAAAATTTTATATAGAAGAACTATTATACTGCGATTCTTTTAAAGAAAAAAACTGTTATACTGATGGTTTTCTGCAAAAAATCTATTATACTGAGAATGTTTTTGAGAAAAACTGTTATACTGTGAATTCCTGTACAGAAAAAACTGTTATACTGATAGTTTTCTGCAAAAAATTTGTTATACTGAGAATCTTTTTGGGAGAAAAACTGTTATACTGTTAATTTTTGTAAGAAAAAAATGTTATAATGATGTGGAAAAACTTTATATAATGTTGAAAAACTTTTATACTATGATTCATTTAAAGAAAAAAACTGTTATACTGAGAATTCTCTTTGGAAAACTGATAACTTCCTGTAGTATAATCTGTTGTACTATGAATTTTTTTTTTAAGAAAAACTGTTGTAAAGTAAATTTTCTTTACAAATATTATTATACTGAGAATTTTTAGAGAAAAACTGTTAGGTCATGAATTTTTTGGAGAAAGAATTTATAATGTGAATCTTCTTTTTAAAAAACTGTTATACTGTGATTTTTTTTAAAGAAAAAACTAATATTGAAAATGCTCTACAGAAAAACTATTATACTTTGATTTTTTTGAAGAAAGAAACTGTTATATAGAGAATTTTCTTTAGAAAAACCTGTTATACTTAGAAATTTTCGAAGTGAAAGCTGTTATACTGAGTATATTCTTAAATAAAACTGTTATATTGTGATTTTTCTTTAAAAAAACTATTATATTGAGATTTTTTAGTAAAAAACTTTTTTATTTTCTTTCAAAAACTGTTATACTGTTAATTTTTGGTTTAAAATTTTCTTTAAAAAACTGTTATTATGAGATTTTTTTAAGAACAAACAGTTTTCTTTAGAAAAAACTGTTATATTTTCTTTGAAAAACTGTTATACTGTTAATTTATGGAATGAAACTTTCTTAAAAAACTGTTATACAAAGATTTTTTTTTTTTGGAAAAAAACTGTTATACTGTAATTTTTTAAAGAAAAACTTTTATATAGTTAATTTTCTTAACAAAAAATATTATATAGAGAATTTTTTAAAAATAAAATTAAGTTCTTATTCCAAATTGGAAAATTTTAAAAATATTTCAGCAAATTTTTAAAACTTTTATTCAAATAAAGTGTTTTCGTATAAAAATTTTGAAATTTGTTTCTATTTTGCGTTTTCTCTCTAGATTTTATGGCTAAAGCAAAAAAAATTCTTTAGTCTTAATTACTGTCTATATATTCCTTAATCGATATATTGATTTTTTAGGTTTTAAGTTATTAAAATATATATAAAAAATCTCTTGAGGTTTTCCTATTCCCTAACTAAATTTTTAATGTGTGTTGAAGCCAGTTGTTAGGGGGTAAAAAAACGCATTAAAAACAATAATTCTTAAAAAATAATATAGTAGCAGAAAAAAAAACTAAAGATAATATTGAAAGCAAAAAAACAGCATATGAAATTTTTATTTTCGCACACCTGGTGTTTTTCCAAAAGGCCGTTTTTAGCTTATCATTTAAACATACATAATTATATTTAAAAAAACCTACTTAATGTAGAGTAGACCCTTTAACATTTTAAATATAATTTATTGTTTAAAAAAAATATGGCAAAAAATTATAGAAACTGTGTCGAATTATATAAAGAAAATGTCTTGTTTTTTAAGCCTAAAAGAACAGGTGTTTCTTTGTTAAAAAAAAATCTGTCAATTTTATAACAATATTGTGAAATGTCATAAAATATCTATATATATAGAAAACATTATCAGTTATTTGGCTTTTAATACAACATAACATGATAATCAGTAAAGATTAGCAAAAAAAAGAGGGTAAAATTAGCAAAATGTGATTTGAAAACATGAATGAATTTAGAATTTTGTGAAAAATAAAGAAATTTATAGACAATTTTATTTAAAATTAAAATAATAAAATAAAACATCAATTACTCTCAAACAGAAAAATAAATTTGTTGAAATTTTCCTTAAGTTCAAAATGAACTCATTGTTTTTGTTTAAAACTTTTAGATTTCGTGGTGACATATGTATTATTATAAATCTGTAATAATTCATTCAAAATGAAAAGTCTTTTGGTGAAAATCGTTTAAATTAGCTTAACAGCTGTTTTTCTCTAGGGTTTACATGAATCTGGCAGCTTTATTTATTTTCCTGCTTCTTGTCTTTAACAAAACATTTCCTCGGGCAACATAATATTTGCTTAGTTACTACTTGAACTATCCATCTATCTATCTATCTATCTATCTATCTATCTATCATCTATCTATCTATCTATCTATCTATCTATCTATCTATCTATCTATCTATCTATCTATCTATCTATCTATCTATCTATCTATCTATCTATCTATCTATCATCTATCTATCTATCTATCTATCTATCTATCTATCTATCTATCTATCTATCTATCTATCTATCTATCTATCTATCTATCTATCTATCTATCTATCTATCTATCTATCTATCTATCTATCTATCTATCTATCTATCTATCTATCTATCTATCTATCTATATCTATCTATCTATCTACTATCTATCTATCTATCTATCTATCTATCGATCTATCTATCTATCTATCTATCTATCTATCATATCTATCTATCTATCTATCTATCTATCTATCTATCTATCTATCTATCTATCTATCTATCTATCTATCTATCTATCTATCTATCTATCTATCTATCTATCTATCTATTTATCTACCTACCTACCTACCTACCTACCTATCTATCTATCTATCTATCTATCTATCTATATCTATCATCATCTATCTATCTATCTATCTATCTATCTATCTATCTATCTATCTATCTATCTATCTATCTATCTATCTATCTATCTATCTATCTATCTATCTATCTATCTATCTATCTATCTATCTATCTATCTATCTATCTATCTATCTATCTATCTATCTATCTATCTATCTATCTACTATCTATCTATCTATATATCTATCTATCTATCTATCTATCTAT